CTGCATTTGATAGCTTTACCTTCTACTTTCTTTTTCTTTAAAAATTATTTAATTTTATTTATTATTATTTAATGGGCTACAGGGCAGGCATTCTTACCTGAGAGACACAGGGTAAGAGAGAGGGCAAGGGAGAAAGCAAACCACCAGGTCTGGGACTCGTACCATGATTGGCTACATGGCCAGTCCAGCGGCCCTAGCCACCACACTACCTGCTGGGCTCTACCTTCTACTTTCTTTTTCTTTAAAAATTATTTAATTTTATTTATTATTATTTAATTTGCTACAGGGCAGGCATTCTTACCTGAGAGACACAGGGTAAGAGAGAGGGAAAAGGAGAAAGCAAACCACCAGGTCTGGGACTCGTACCATGATTGGCTACATGGACAGTCCAGCGGCCCTAGCCACCACACTACCTGCTGGGCTCTACCTTCTACTTTCTTTTTTTTAGAGGTTTTGCTATAGGGCGCGTGCGCTCGCCAGACAGAGACAGAAAGCAAGAAATCACCCCCCCCCCCAGGGGGGATGGCCACGCCACAATCCCTTCTCCTCCATTCTCCTCTCAGGATCCTGGGCACGCAAGCACATGCGCCCAGCGTGAGTTTAAGCCACCGGGTCCGGGACGCGAACCGCGGTCGACTACGTGGGAGTCCAGCGGCATAGCCGTTACGCTAACTGCTGGTCCCTCTACCTTCTACTTTCTAACTATGGAGTAAAAATTGAAATCTAGTCCTGTCATGTTGAAAGTAAACAGGCAAGTTTAGAAGTAGTCATCATGTTTTCATATCTTGAAGGTCACAGAGTTAAAAGTCAGAATTTATAAAGCCCAGGCCAAAGACAAAGGTAATCTTTTATTATTATTATTTTTTTAGAGATTTTTTGCTATAGAGTGTGTGCACTCGCTGGAGAGACGCAGGCAGAAATTGAGAAATCACCCCCCAAGGGGTATGGTCACACCAAAATCTCTTCTCCATTCTCCTCCAGGGATTTTGGGCATGCATGCCCATGTGCTCAGCTTCAGTTTTAAGCCGCCAGGTCCAGGACTCTAAACATATTCAGTTGTTTATGAGTCCAGTGCCTTAACCACCTGCTAGCTCCAGACACAAATCTCTTAAGATTCGTTATTGAGAATCTGGAGGAAAAAATGTCTATCCATTTCCACTTCCCGATTCCCAAGTTTTCTAATTGATTGAGACAGGATAATATTTATTGAGAACATACGTATGGTATTCCACATTTTTTTTAGCTAAGCCACTCCTTGGTCAGGTTACTTATGCATCGGTTTTACATTTCCCTTGCCACCTGACACAGGCACCTGAACTTTGGGGTTCAGTGATTTTAAGAGTTTAGGAAAGCAGCATTTCTAGGGTCTTACAAGCCTCAGTTATTCTGGAAAATGCTATATACTTGTTACTCACTTAAATAGGGAGAAACAGTCTAATACTGCATTTTCAGATCTCCTTTTAGGATCTCTGACATAGAAGTGAATGCCCAAGAGTCCTGTGAGCTAAAACATTACTTCATCCTGTTTGACTTTTTACCATAAGATATTAATGTCTTTTTCCCTAATTTTATAAGTGGCAGTCTTGGCCACATCTACACCCTGTTTATATGCATGTAATGCTGTAGGGCTACAAAGACTTTACCATGGTAGAATTGTGAGTGTGGGCCAGCAGGTGGCATGGTGGTTAAGATGCTGGATTCCCACATGGGCAACTGAAGTTTGAGCTCTGGACCCAGTGGCTTGAAAAACCACAATAGATAGATAAATAAATGTTAAAAAAATAAATAAAGAATTGCAAGTGGATATGAGTTGGACAAGATTTAGAAAAGCACAGGTCTAGAGATGCACAACTACTATTTAGACATTTTGCTATGTTCATAGTATTGAATCCATATAAGTCATTTGATGCACTATATATAGGAAGGGGTCTGTGAATGTGTTCCTGCAGCTACATCTCAATTCCCTCCCCGCCCCTCCTTTGTTATAGAGTGTCTGTGCTCTCCAGAGAGACAAGGAAAGTGAGAAATCACCAGGCAGGTGTAGAGATGGCTATGTTGTAATCTCTTCTTTTCCAGTCTCTTGGGATTTGGGGCATACACCCACACCTGTCACGTTTGTCTTTCTTTTTTTGGAGAGGTTTTTGCTACAGGGCACGTGCGCTCGCCAGAAAGACAGAGACAGAAAGCGAGAAATGGGGTGTGGGGGCGGTGGCTATGCCGCAATCCCTTCTCCATTCTCCTCTCGGGATCTTGGGCACGCATGCACACGAGCCCGGCATGAGTTTAAGCCACCAGTCTGGAACTTTAACCAGTTGGCTACATGGGAGTCTTAGCCATCTGCTGGTCCGGTCAGGTTTATTTTTCAAGTTGCCAGGTCCTGGACTCAAACCATAGTAGGCCATGTGGGAACCCAGCAACTTAACCACCAGGCCACCTGCTGGCCCCTGTATTTGGGTCTTGCTTTCCACGCAACAGTAGAGTAGCTGGGTTGAAGAGATTATGAAGAGAAAAATCAACAGCCAACTAAAGCCAACTAACTAGTAGGGCATTTAAGAAAAGGTATGGGCTAAGGAAGTTACCTCCGCATTGTCAAATGTTTTAGTTTTGTTTAGGGTGGGACAGTTAATTTGGGGGGACAGTTAATTACTACCAGTAAATTAAATCTTTGTATTATGGAAAATACACAATCTAAGGCATCTGGGATTGTTTTCTCAAGCAGAAACGGGTTTCTTGGGAGTTTTCCTACTCATTCTGTTTCATGGGCACATCTTCCCCCAAAACGGTGATAAAATTCTCCAAGTCTTCTCTGTGCTACTAATTGAGCGTGTGACTTTGGACAAATAGAGTCGTTTCTTGGGACCTCAGGGTGTCTGCTCCCGGCCTTCACTCCAAGGGGGTCGGTTCCAGTCTGGAAGCCAGCAAATCGCTACCAATGTCGGGCCGTGGGCCTCGCGCGAAGCCGTTGGACGTTAATGTGCCCCCCCTCACCGCGCCCCTTAGCGCAATGGGTGGGACTGGGGGGCAGCAGCTTCCGGCGGTGAATGGCAAGGGGGCGCGTGGCGCTCCCCACCCACCGTGACACGAGACTGTCCCCGCGGCAGGACGCCGCGCGCGCCAGCCTCTCTTCACCACCGTTGAGGGCTTTGCCAGCCCGGCCAGCGCACACTGGGAAGCCCCGAAGCGTCTCCGCGGTGCCGAGAGAACTGTTCGAGTGGGGGAGGGGCAGCGAACCGAATCGTTTATGCTAAACAGTGCGTGCATCCTTTATGGAGATTGGCGAGGGCTTTACTCTAGAAGCCAATCAGTTCAGGACGAGGGTGGGCCAGTAGCGAACTCGCACACTCATTGGCTGACAGGTTGCGGCGCAAGAGGAGCGTTTAGACCGAGAATATCCGGGATTATTTTCCCCTAGCCTTGCTGTGCGTGTACCGGAAGTGACGCACGGCCCCGGCGGGCGGCCGCCCTGCCCCCGCTTCCTTTCACGCTGTCGCTGACTGTGGGTGGTTGTGGCCACTGTGCTCTGAGGGAGGTGGTGGCCGCCAGTAATGCCTGGGAAACTCCTCTGGGGGGACATTATGGAGCTGGAAGCACCTTTGGAAGAGTCCGAGAACCAGAAGAAGGAGAGGCAAAAGGTGCGCAGAGGATGGGCCGCGCCTCCTGTTGGGCTGCGCCGGCTTGGGCGGGGAGGGGAACTGTACCTGATGATGGCCTGTCAGAACCGGGCCGGAGCATCAGAGGGCCTCCCCTCGCGCCGTCCTCAGCCCTCTGAGATAGCTCCGGGACCATTTCCATCTCCACACTCCCGACTTGGAGAAGGACGGCCCTGGGCTTTGGTCCGTCCTCCCTTGGCCTTTCAGCCCTTGCCGTTGGCGCCTGAATCTCAGAAGAGAGGGCCAGACTCAAGCTCCCATCACCGCAGAGTCTTGTTCTTCTTTTCCTCTTCCTCAAGCAGCGAGGCCTGTCATTGGGGTTCGTTGACCATCTTAGAAGATGATTACGAAAAAGATTGCCTTGAATATGTGTTTTTTTCTGTCTCCTTGTCCTGTGTGCAAGAATGTGTGCAAGAATCTTGGGGAAAGCGATCTTAGGTTTACAAACCTTTAGAAATAGTATGTAGAGGCTTAAATATAAAAGTGTCACAGCATTGTTAGGAATTGGCTTTGGTGGAGATCGTGTGGGCTGTGTTATGAATAGCTCTTACTGTCAGTATTTTCATTCAATCCACAGGTATTTATGAGCTTAATTTGTACCAGACTGTTTGCTGAGCACAAGGATTTTAAATAAGAAATAGTCCTTGTTGTCAAGGAATCTGTATAGGAGCTTTAGAGACATCCTCCCTTCCACTCCCGCCCCTTAAAAAATCCTGAACAATTAGAGGCTTATGAAGTGCTGAAAATGCACAGGTAAATTTTATGCTGGAGGCTTATGACCTGGAGAAAAGAAAATATTGCTGAGGAAGATAAGGTAGCAGTATCTGAAGGCTGATATTTGACAGAAGTATGGAATTTAAAGAGCAGAATCTATCCCTCTGACTTTATCGCTCTGATCATCTTGTCTTTTCAGCCAACCAGTTATCTTTTATTGCGATAAAATATATGTAACTTAATATTTACTATTTAACCCTTTTCTAAACATAGTTCTGTAGCATTACATATATTCATATGTTCTGCTGTTGTCACTACCATCCATCTCCAGAAGATTTTCATCTTCCTAAGCTGAAACTCCCTGTCTTTTAAACACCAACTCCCTACTTCCCTCTCCTCGCAGCTCCTGTGGTCTCTATTCTTTCTGTCTCTATGAATTTGACTCTGTCAGAACCTAGAGTAGCTTGTAGGTGGAGTCATCAAGCAATTAGTTTTGACTCCTGTTGAAATATTTGTTTTTCCTTTTGCATCCAAATCGTATCCATCTCTCAAGTTGTAATTTGTGTTTTTCTAACCACCCTTTTGTATAGTAATCCCATTCCCCTTTGAAGTCTTGTTCCAGTGTCTGTCTTTATCATGCAATTGGCATTTTATTGTAGACTTTCTTGAAAAGTTAGGTCATTTTTCCTGTGTGTATCTTTTCTAGCTACCTTCCAAAGATTGTTCAGGAAAAGAATTCTTGTCCATCCTTACATTTCAGGAAATTCTTAGTAAATACTTGTGAGTTGATAGCTTGCTTATTGTAAATTTTCCAGAATACCTGTTGATTGCCCTTTAACTATGGAAGATAACTAGAAATTTGAAAACATAATGGAATACCAACTAATGGAGATAGGGCATTAAAATGGTTGTCTGACATCGAAATGAAGATAACTGTTTCAGATATGTTGAGATATGGATCTGGTCCTTAGGTTCTTAGAACTAGAATGGAAATGAGGAAGGGAGTCTGCAAGTGTGTGTTGGAGTCAAAGAAATGGTGTAAAAGTGTACATAGAGAACAGAGACTTAAGGAACATCCACAGGAGAAGGAGGAGGGAGAGGAACCATTGCAGAAGATGTAATAAAGGTAAGAGGATAAGAAGGAAATACAGAGTTTAATAGAAACCAAAGAAATGGAGAGTGTCAAGCACTGTGGGTACAACATGGAATAATGTATTTCATCACCATGGCATGTTGCTGGGCTTAGACCTAGAGGTCTCTCTGCCTCCTTTCAACTTGTCCCTGATGTACATGGCCCAGGAGCAATTTAAACCCCAAGGCTAATTCTATAAATAATCTTGTTTTTCTGTAGAACCTTTTGGTTTAGGGAGATATGGGCTGGTACAGCTAAGGATCAAATGATGTAGTAATGTGGTAACTGCAAGGCTTTTTTTTTTTTTTTTGTCTCCTAAGTTTTGCTGTAGGATGTGAACACTCAGCAGAGAGACAGAACAAGAGTGAAAGAGAAATCACCCCAGAGGGGTTGGCCACACTGTAACCCCTTTCCTCTAATCTCTGCTTAGGATTTTGGGCATGCATGCACAGGTTCCTGATGTGATTTTCAAGCCACTAGGTCTGCATTGGAACTGCTCAGTTGGCCATGTGGGATCCAGTGCCTTATTCTCTAGGCCACCTGCTGGTCCATAACTGCTAAGTATTTTCACACATACCATGTTACTCAGTTTTTGTAGCAACTCCTTTATTTATTTATTTAGAGAGATTTTTGCGATAGGGTGCATGTGCTTATCACAGAGCTGAGACAGACAGAAAGTGAGAAGTCATCCCCCCAGGGGGAATGGCCATGCGATAATACCTTCTCCATTCTTCTCTTGGGATTTTTGGACACGCATGCACATGTTCTCAGCATGAGTTTTAAGCCACCGGGTCCGGAACTTGAACTGTGGTTGACTACGTGAAAGTCCAGCAGTGTAACCATTATGCCATCTTCTAGTCCCCTGCAATTCCTGTTTTGTTGATGAGAAAATTACATATGAAAACACTATAAAAATTGTGTAAGTGAAAATTTTGATGGTTGTAATATTTTTCTTTAATTTGCTAGAGGGCATGTGCACTTGCTAAAGAAAGAGAGGAGAGGAGAAAGCATCCCACCCTTCGGGAATGATCATGCCACAGTCCCTTCTCCATTTCTCCCTCCTTTCAGGATTTGTGCACACGTGCACATGCCCGGTGTGTTTTTCAAGCTACTAGGTTTGGGACTCAAACTGCACAGTTGAGCATGTGAGATCCAGGTTGGTTAATCAGCAGGCCACAGGCTAATCCTGTAATTTTTATTATCACTAACTACTGATATCTCATTTATTTTAAAGATTTGATTAAGTAATTCTGAAGATGTGCTAGATTTCCAAATAATGACTCATGGTTTACAAATATGAAAACACTGGCCACCTGGAGGCCGGCAGGTGGCATGGTAGTTAAAGGTGGCTGGCCGTGGTTCGAGTCCTGAACCTGCTGTCTTGTTTTCTTGTTTTCCCACTCCCTCTGTCTTTCTCTGATCAAATTTAAAAAATAACAACAATAACAAATGGAATTAAAGAAATAATTTAAAAAAGGAAAACACTGGCTATCAGTTTGGCTATTTTTTTTCTTTTTTAGGTTTTTGCTGTAGGACACATATGCTCATTGGAGAGAGGCAGAGAGAGGGAAAGTGAGAAATCACCTCCCAGCCTCAAGGGGGATGGCCACGTCTCAAATCCCTTCTCCAAAAAAACGTGTGTGGTATGATCTTCAAGCCCCCAAGTCTGCAATTTGACCTGCAAAGTTGACCATATTGGAATCTATTGCCTTAACTTCCACACCACCTGCTGGCCCCATCAGTTTGGTATTTTAAAGTCAAAGTTTAAGAATAGTGCTTTTTTTCTTTTTACATACTACTTACTAAATAAAAACTGTTTCTTAATTTCTAGGATTACTGTTATTCCATGGAAGTATAATAATTGGAGTTATACATAGTTTGGTTTAGTTATTTATTTTCTGTTAATTATCAAAATTCAGGGAAAAAGCATAATGTAAAAATAGCATTGATCTGGGGCCCACACATGGCATGGTGTTGGGGCTGTGGTCTCCCACATGGCTGACTGTGGTTCGAGTCCCGGACCTGATGGCTTGCTCTCTCATTTGCCCCCTCTCTCTCTTTCTGGTGAGCATATGTGTCCTATAGCAAATGTAATAATAATAATATTGAATAAAATAAATAAATTTAACAAATTGCATGGATCTTCAAGTTAAATAGATCTAGCTCCACTTCTAACATGAAAGAATTGTAAGTATTCCCAGTTGTAGATGTTTGGCAAGTTATTTAACTTCTGAGAACTCCCTTTTCCTCATCTATAAAATGGCAAAGGTAGGGACCAGCAGATGGCATAATGGTTACATGGTTGAACTCCCACGTAGTTGACTGCAGTTAGAGTACTGGACCCGGTGGCTTAAAACTCAGGCCAGGCACGTGTGTGTGCGTGCCCAAAATCCCAAGAGGAAAATAGAGGAGAAGGGATTGTGGTGTGGCCGTCCCCTCCGGGGCAATTTCTTGCTTTCTGTCTCTGGCAAGTGCATGTGCCCGATAGCAAAAATCTCTCTCTAAAAGGACAAGAAAATGGCAAAGGTAATACAGGTTCACTGTTTCTTATTCAAAATCCTTGGAGTTAGATGTGTTTAGAATTCAGAATTCTGGAGATTTTTAGAAATACCCAATCCCAGCAGGATTTGGGCCTGTAACTTGACACCTTAATATTAAATATGAGTATTCATATTAAATGGAATAAATAAAGGCTACAAATAGCCTCACATTAGTTTAGGTCAGATTTTGCTATCTAATGAGTTTAGGTCAGCCAAGGTTTTGCCTTCAAGTAAGTTACCAAAAAAACTTAAGTTTTTTTTTAAGAATTTTTTTAAATTTAGCTTTTTTTCTCTCTCTTTCTTTCTCTCTTTCTTTCTCTTTCTTTCTTTTGACCAGAGAGGGACAGAGAGAGAGAAAGTAAGAAAGCAAGCTGCCAGGTCTGGGACTCGAACCACGGTCAGCCATGTGGGAGTCCAGCGTCCTTAACCATCTCGCCATCTGTCGACCCATAGCTTTTTTTTTAAAGAATAATTTATTTTATTTATTCATTCATTTATATTAATTTTACCAGAGAGAAGGAGAGAGAGAGAGAAAGCAAACCACCAGGTCTGGGACTCGAACTATGATCAGCCATGTGAGAGTGTCCAGTTTTTTAACACCTTAACCACCATGCCACCTGTTCATACCCAAAACTTAGGTTTACAGAGCTTTATGGGTATTGGAATTTTGGGTAAGGGTTCCGGATCTGTATGTCTCTTACAGAATTGTAAATACAGCTTTAGATAAGCTGAAAATACATAATGTTGTGTAGGTATTCCATAAATATATAATTTTTTTCTTTTGAAGATATTAGAAGTTTTTTTTTTTTTCCTTTTTATTTGTGATTCTGGGATTATCACTCTTGCCAAGAAGGAGCTTAAAAAAAAAAAAGAAAAAAAAAGTTATAAATTTTATTTATTATTATCTTCTTCAGTTTTGATCAGAAAGAGCCAGTGAGAAAGCAAGCTGCTAGATCTGGGACTTGACCTGTGGTTGACTTTGTGGGAATCCAGCACCTCAACCACCACACCACCTACAGGCCTCCATTTTTTTTTTTAAGTTTTATTTATTCAATTTTATTTTATTTATTTTGGAGAGTTTTTTGCTATAGGGCACGTGCACTCACCAGCTAGAGACAGAGAGAGACAGACAGAAAGTAAGAAATCACCCCCCCAGGGGGGATGGCTATGCCACAGTCCCTTCTCCTCCATTCTCCTCTCGGGATCTTGGGCATGCACGCACATGCGCCCAGCATGAGTTTAAGCCACCGGGTCCAGGACTCGAACCGTGGTTAACTACATGGGAGTCCAGCAACATAGCCATTACGCTAACTGCTGGTCCCTTTAGTATTATTTTTAAATTTGACTAGAGAAAGATAGAGGAAAAGAGAAAAGGAAAGTGAGAATGCAAGCTGCCGGGTCCAGGATTTGAACTGCAGTTGGCCATGTGGGAGTTCAGCACCTTACCATCATGCCACCTGATGACCCTGAGAAGAAATTGTTTTAATTTCCCTTAAATCTTACAATGGGATTAGAGCTAAATGCTGAGTTTTGAGAATGCAGGAGATGGGCTGAGAATTACAGTACCCCAGCAAGGCTTAGAGTTTGGTGATATGAATTATCCTGGATTTCTGTCAGGTAGGTATTGAAAATCACTGTAGATTGAGCTTAACTGGTTGGGGAGTCTAATTTCTGTGGAGTCTTAAAAGGATACCTCATGACCCTCTTATCACTGCTTCTTTATTTGTCTACAGAATGATAGAAGGAAATCAAGACACCATTATGACTCAGATGAGAAATCAGAAACAAGAGAAAATGGTGTTGGAGATGACCTGGATGCTCCCAAGTCCAAAAAAGCTAAAATGAAAGAGAAACTAAATGGAGACACTGAAGAGGGATTTAGTAGACTTTCAGATGCATTCTCTAAATCTCATAAGTCAAGAAGAAAAGGCCTGCCAAATGGAGATATTGATGAGTATGAAAAAAAATCAATGCGAGCATCATCCTTAGATAGTTCTCATAAATCAAGTGATAATAAATTACAGGAGGTATGGATACTTATTTTGTACTTGACATTACCTTGAAATACAGGCTGATTGGATTTTTTTAGGCTAATTAGAATTGATTCTGTAATATTTCCTACTTAGTGTCCAGTACTCTTTGATAGATGGATGTGAGAGTCTGTGCAAGTTGAAATCTGAGCCTTTTTTCCTTCAACCCTTGTTTCTTTCATTGTGTTGTCTTTTTATTTGGATTGGGATAGGGGATGCTCAGATTTTAATCTCTCCTGTGCATTTGGGTTCCTAAACAATTTTTCCAAATTGCTTATCAGTGTCACCTACTCCTTTTTTTTTTTTTTTTGTTCTTAAATTGCTATGCATAGTGGTTAAGGTGGTGGACTTCCACATGACCAACCATGGTTTGAATCCCAGACTTAGTGACTCGAAAATCACACCAGGCATATGTGCCTGCCTACCCAAAATCCAGAGAGGAGTTTGGAGAAAAAGGGATTGTGGTATGGCCATCCCCCTGAGGGCTGATTTCTCACTTTCCCTCTCTCTACCTCTCTATATCTGTCCGGTGAGCACATATGCCCTATAGCAAAAACGTAAAAAATAAATAAATAAAAAATAGTAAGTTGCCATAAGGCACAAGTGTTCACCAGAGAGAGAGAGAGAGAGAGAAAGCAACCCTGAATGGCCAGTGGAGCATGGTCATGCTGCAGTCCCTTCTTTTTGGGACATGCTCCCAGTGTGTGTTTGAAACTACCATGGCCTGGATTTACACAGTGCTGGCCCAGCCTACTTGCCTTTCTTATGGTTATTTCAGTTCCTACCAGTATTCATCAATTGATTTCTCACCTTCTGCAATGAAGAATAGAAAGTCTCTTGACTTTGTGTATTTTGCCTTTTGCTTTTTCTGCTTCTGTAGTGATGGCAACTTTAAATGATCTTTAGGTCCTACTGTGACTCAGTGCTAAAGCAAGTAACATTATTTTAAAAGAATTATTTACTTAATTTTATTTATTATAATTTTTGAGTTTACGAAAGGACATAATGTACTTACCGGAGATAGAGAGAGGGAAAGTGAGAAAGCAAGCCACCAGGTCCAGGACTCGAACTGCAGTCAGCCATGTTGGAGTCCAGTGCCTTAACTACCATGCCATTTGCTGGCCTCACTCTAGGCACATGTGCATGTGTGCCCAAGATCCCTAGAGTAGAATGGAGGAGAAGGGATTGCAGTGTGGCCGTCCCCCCTCGGGGATGATTTCTCGCTTTCTGTCTCTCTACCCCTCTCTGTCTTTCTGGCGAGAGCACATGCCCTATAGCAAAAAAAAAACTCTCAAAATAAAACATTATCTAATTTATTTGTTATCACTATTGCTTTTTAATTTTCTATAAGCCTCATGTGCAAGAGGGAGAGAGAGAAAGTGAGAAAGAAACTGCCTGGTCTGGGACTCAAACCATGGTTGACCATAATGGAAGTCCAACACCTTAACCACCACACCACCTGCTGGCCCCCTTCTTGCTTGCTTGTTCTGGCTCTTGCTCTCTTGCTCTGTCCCTCTCTGGTCAAATTTTAAAAAATAAGTAAATAAATAAAGTAATTCTTAAGGAAAAAAGTATCCAATTTTATTTTTTATTATTATTATTTTTCAATTTGACTGGAGAGAGTGACAGAAAGTGAGAAAGCAAGCCACCAGGTCTGGGACTGGAACTGTGGTCAGCCATTTGGGAGTTCAGTTCCCCAACCAACACTTCACCTGCTGCCTGTAAAGGGAGACTTTTGAAATTAGCAGAATTTCCCACTAGTTTTCCTTGTAAGTTAATCTAAATGTTTCTTTTTTAAAAGTTGATCGTTTTCTCTCCTTTTTTAAAAATAATTATTAAATTTCATTTATTTGTTCATTTATTTTAATTTGACCAGAGAGAGAGAGAGAGAGAGAGAGAGAGAGAGTAAAAGTAAGAAAACAAGCCACCAGCTTTGGGACTCAAACTGTGGGAGTGTCCAGCCCCTTAACCACCATGCCACCTGCTGGACCCCCACTTTCTCTTTTTTAAAAATTTTACTTAACTTTATTTATTTAAATTTGACCAGAGAAAGAGTGAAAGAGCAAGAGGGAAAGTGAGGAAGCAAGCCAACAGGTCTGAGACTCAACCACAGTCAGCCATCAACCACGAGGTCAGCCATGTTGGAATCCAGCACCCTTAATTACCACGCCACCTGCCAGCCCCTAATCTAAATAATTTTTTTTTTAAATTTTCTTTTTAGACAGAGAGAAACAGAGAGACAGGGAGAAATCACCTCCTCCCCACCCCCCAGGGTTTAAGCCACTGGGTCCGGGACTTGAACCGTGGTCGACTACATGGGAGTCCAGCGACACAGTCATTATGCTAACTGCTGGTCCTTAATCTAAATAATGTTTATACACACGTCAGCCCATTTAGTAAAATTAAAGTTGTCAAAAGGGTAAAAGTTGAATATAAACTATATTGTCTAGAACTTTGATTTCATTTTGACAGATCCTAACACGTGAACAGAAAGAAGGGGACTTCTCCAATTTCCCTATTTCTGAAGAGACTATAAAGCTTCTAAAAGGTACTATGAATTGTAATACATTTGTAATTTAAAATCTACTTGTTTTTTTTAATGCATGTGCCTTTCCTGACCAAAAATAATATAAAAAACATAGAGAAATAGTTCTTCATGAACTACAGTTATTTCTACATCACCTTTTTCATTATTCTGACCTGTTTTTAACCTTAAGAGTTAGATGTAAGAATATTTGTCAAAAATTGAGACTAATTTTTTTACAGTTTCTGTTTGAGATAGGAATAACTGTAACTCTTCTTAGGTGATGTATCCTCTTAGGCAGACATCATGGAATCAGGATTGGCATTTTCAATTGAATATATTTTTTTCTAATACTGATCTTAAATATTTTAATGACATTTTATTTTACAGGTCGAGGGGTAACATATCTCTTTCCTATTCAAGTTAAGACCTTTGTTCCTGTGTATGAAGGAAAAGATTTAATTGCTCAAGCACGGACAGGAACAGGAAAGACATTCTCTTTTGCTATCCCCTTGATTGAAAGGCTCCAAAGAAATCAAGAAATGGTTAAAAAAAGCCGCTCACCAAAGGTAACTAATATAAGAGTAAAAGTTTACAACATTGATGGAAAAGAGAAAGTATACTAGTTCAAGTGTGGCATAGCATGCAAAAGATAGCCTGTGGCATAAAGTGAAAATTTGGGTTCTAACATCAAAATATGTTTATATGCACATAAAACATTTCAAGCAAAGCTAAAATGAAATAGTTATCAGGTATGAGTGGAATGTATATGGAGCCGTAGATACCTTTGATATCTGTATATTATGAGGCCAGTATAGTTTAGGAATATTTATCATTAGTATATTTATAATTAATATATGTATATTGACTTTTTTTTTAGTCCTGACCCTTTCAGTGAATTTTCTGAAGATGTGGGTATTTTTTTATAATTACTTATTTAATTTTTATTTTTTCATTCGTTTATTTTAATTTGACCAGAGAGAGACACAAATAGCGAGAGAGAAGTAAAGTGAGAAAGCAAGCCACCAAGTCTGGGACTCAAACCATGGTTGGCCATGTGGGACTGTCCAGCGCCTTAACCACCATGCCACCTGCTGGTCCCTGAAGATATGTTTTTTGGTTATTCAGTAAATATTCAATATTACTTACTTTACTGGATGACATTTTAAGAAGATTATGACAGGGAGCCAGCAGTTAGCGTAATGGCTATGTTGCTGGGCTCCCACGTAGTCGACCACGGTTTGCGTCCTAGACCCGGTGGCTTAAAACTCACGCCGGGCCCAAGATCCCGAGAGGAGAATGGAGGAGAAGGGATTGCGGCGTGACCATCCCTCCTGGGGGGGTGATTTCTCGCTTTCTGTCTCTATGTCTCTTTCTGTTTGTCTGGCGAGCACACGCGCCCTATAGCAAAAACCTCTCCAAAAAAAAAAAATAGAAGATTATGACAGAGGCTGACAAGTGGTGTGGTAGTTAAGAGCACTGGACTCCCACATGGACAACTGTGGTTTGAGTCCCGGACCTGGTGGCTTGCTTTCTCACTCCTCTTCCCCGCCCCCTCACCACCTCTCTGGTCAAATTAATAGAAAGAAAGGCAGGCAGGTAGGAAGGAAGGAAGGAAAGAGGGAGGACGAGAGGAAAGGAGAGAGAGAGAGAAAAAGAAGAAAGAAAGAAAGTTAAAATAATTCTTAAAAAAAAAAGAGAATGACAGAATTGATAGTGCTGGTTTCTGTATTGAAGGTACTGGAGAGCTGTGTTAATTTATCAATAGTATAGTCAACCAGTAGAGGGGACTGGGAAACTTTTAGCCTAACATTTGACCTTGTTAGGATCTATGTGTACTTTAAGGTTCTAAAAGTGAAGAAAAAGAATCAGCAACATGATTAGAATAGGTTCATAAGTAAAAGTATTAGCAGTTTATTCTTTGAAAAACTCCTGAGTAGTAATACAGTATAAAAGCAAATTTACATATGTAAGTATCACTATATCACAATGACTTTGGTTCAGCTATCCCAAATCAGGTTGGGTGCATTGGCTTACAGGAGGACTTAATTTGGAGGATTCTATTTCTTGGGTAAAGTTAGGAAGGACTTAAGTAATAAAATAAGATACAGTCCCAACACTGCCTTTAAAAACTTTTGTGCTAGTACAGTGTTAGTGGAGATTTTAGCTCTACCACTTCCATTGGTTGGATTTAGGTGAAGACTTTTAACTTCTCTAAGACTCATGTTCCTTATGAATAAAATTGGGATAACACCACCCCTTGGGGTTTTTGTGAGAGTCAAATAGATAATTCATGTAAAGCACTAGTGCCTGCTGACATTCATTTAACAATTTTACTTATTTATTTTAAAATTATTTCTCTATTTAATTTTGTTACTATTATTTATTATATTTTAATTTTACCAAATAGACAGAGAAAACGAGCAAGAGAAGGGGAAAATGAGAAAGCAAGCTGCCAGGTCCGGGACTTGAACCAAGGTTGGCTATACAGGAGTCCAGCACCTTAACCATCATGCCACATGCTGGCCCCAATTTATTATTATTATTTTATTATTATTTTTTGGACAGGTTTTTGCTATAGGGTGCATGCACTCACCAGAAAGACAGAGAGAGACAGAGAGACAGAAAGCGAGAAATCACCCCCCCAGGGGGGTTGGCCACGCCACAGTCCCTTCTCCTCCATTCTCCTCTTGGGATCTAGGGAATGCACACATATGCACCCAGCGTGAGTTTAAGCCGCCGGGTCTGGGACTTGAACCACAGTCGGCCACATGGGAGTCCAGCGACATAGCCATTACGCTAACTGCTGGTCTCCCCAATTAATTTTTTTAAAGAATTATTTTGTTAATTTATTTATTTACTTATTTTAATTTAACTGTAGAGGGACAGAGCGAGAGAGAGAGAGAGAGAGAGCGAGAAAGCAAGCCGCCAGGTCCAGGACTCAAACCACAGTCGGCCATGTGGGAGTCCAGCACCCTCAACTACCATGCCACTTGCCAGCCCCTCATTTAATAATTTAAAAAGTATATTATTTTAAAAAAGTAGATTATTTTCTTTCATGAGAGGAAGAGAGACAGATAGAGAAAGGATAAGGAGGACTCCTCAACAGAATTCTGTAATTCCTCCCATAGCCTCAGCCAGTCAGGATCTTGGGCACTCATGCTTGCACGTGGAGTGCACAGTTAGACCTTGAGATGTAAACCCAGGACCTTCTCATATTGCCTTCTGCATTGTGGAGTGTTGTGTTAACACTGTGTTACCATAGCTAGCTTAAGAAGTATTTTTTGAATATCTGTTCTGTTCTAAGGACTGCTTGAGGTACGACGAACACAGCGACCTAGCCTGATATAAATCCCTGCCATCATGGAGCTTACGTTTTAGTGGGTTTGATAGACAATCAGCCAATAAGTAAATATAAAATATAAATATCTTAGGTGGTTCTTAGTGCTAAGGAGAAATAATAAAGAGAAACGGGGAGATGAAAAGAGGCTTAGAAACCTCACTGAGAAACTGACTTGAAGGGAACTAAAGGAAGTAAGGGAGGATAAAAATTAATTAAGCTTTCATTCTTATGCTGTTTGTATCCTATCTTTAAATACTTAATGATATTGATGTTAAGATTCCTATTTTAATTTTCCTTTTTAATTTTTTAAAAAGAATTATTTTATTTAACTTTATTTATTCATTCATTTATTTTAATTTGATCAGAGAGAGAGAGAGAAAGTGAGAAAACAAGCCACTCGGTCCAGGATTTAAACTGTGGTTGGCCATTTGAGAGTGTCCAGTGCCTTAATCTCTATGCAGCCTGCTGGTCCTCAAGATTCGTAGCTTTAAATATACCTTTTAAAAAGTCTTCTCAGTTTGAATTTATTATTATTATTATTATTATTATTTTATTTCACTTTATTTATTTACTTTTAATTTGGCCAGAGAGAGAGAGAAAAGCAAAGTGAGAAAGCAAGCCACCAGATCTGGGACTCGAACTGTGGTTGGCCATGTGGGAGTCCAGCACCCTTAACCATCATGCCACCTGTCAGCCCCAGATTTCTTAAGTCTTTAGATAAGTATCTTTTTGTTCTTTAAACTTCTTGCTTAGGTACTTGTTTTGGCTCCAACAAGGGAACTGGCAAACCAGGTAGCCAAAGACTTCAAAGATATAACTAGAAAACTCAGCGTGGCTTGTTTTTATGGTGGGACATCATATCAAAGCCAAAGTGAGTAAATAGTAGAAAGATACATTTGCTATTTAAATTTTTTTTAAATAAAATTATGTTGATTTTTATGTATTACTGGCATTTCTCTCTATTCACAGTTAATCATATTCGAAATGGTATTGACATCTTGGTTGGGACTCCTGGTCGAATCAAAGACCATCTACAAAGTGGCCGATTGGATCTTTCTAAACTACGCCATGTTGTGCTTGATGAAGTGGATCAAATGTTAGATTTAGGGTTTGCTGAACAAGTTGAAGATATTATCCACGAATCCTACAAAACTGGTATTTACTCATTCAAAATAAGTAAATTAGCAATTATTCTTGGACAGTAAAAGCTTATGAATTTAATTTTTTTTTTTTTTTTTTGCTAGAGGGGACATGTGTTTGCCTGGGAGAGAAAGTGAGGAAGCACCCCTCTGTGGGGAATGGTTATACCACAATCCCTTCTCCCTTCTTCCTTTTGGGATTTTGGGTATGCATGCACATGCGCCTGGTATGTTTTTCAAGCCGCTAGCTCTGAGACTCAAACTGTGTAGTCAACCATGTGGAATCCAGTTACCTTAACCTCCACGGCCCAGGTTGGGCCAACTTACAGATCTTTTTTATTTTATAGTTTTTATTACATTGTCTTTTGATATTTTATTATTATTTTTTTTTGGAGACATTTTTGCTATATGGCGCATGTGCTCGCCAGAAAGACAGAGACAGAGAGACAGAAAATGAGGAATCACCCCACCCCTCCCTAGGTAGATGGCCATACCGCAGTCCCTTCTCCTCTATTCTCCTCTCGGGATCTTGGGCACACACACACATGCCTGGCGTGAGTTTAAGCCACTGGGTCCAGGACGTCAATGGCAGTCGACTACATGGGAGTCCAGTGACATAGCCATTATACCAACTGCTGGTACCCCTATCTTTTGATGTTTTAACAAAACTAGTTATTTGGTATTTGTTCTCTCCCTGAAAAAAAAAATATGATAGCATACTTAAACTATTGGGTTGTCAGAAAAGTCTTGATGTATTTTTCTGGGTTTTTTTTTGAGAGTTTTTTTTTTTTTTTTTGTTTATGGGGCGG